CAGATATTGTGGATTATCAACCTTGATATTCTGGGTTACATGGCTGTGTGGAGAGGCCCTGAGTGTACACTGGCAGCTAACCCAGATCAAAACAGATATTGTGGATTATCAACCTTGATATTCTGGGTTATATGGCTGTGTGAAGGGGCTCTGAGTCTCCACTGCCAGATAACCCAATTCAAGGCAGATATTGTGGATTATCAACCTTGATATTCTGGGTTATATGACTGTGTGGAGGGGCCCTGAGTCTACACTGCCAGATAACCCTGTTCAAAGCGGATAATCTGGATTTGAACAGCACTGGGCCAAGAACAGAGAATAAGGAACAATGCAGCTCCATAAGGAACTGGATTGACATGCAAGGCTGCAGTGTAAACGGCCGGGGCGCCTGGCTGTGGGTCTCTACAAGGAGGGGAGAAGGAGAGAAGGCTGAGGCGGGTCCCCAGCAGCCCCTACCTGGCCGTCGCCGGGCCGCGCTCCCTCCTCCGCGCCTCAGGCCGCCATGACAGCCGCAGACACAGGCAGGCGCCGGCAAGGAGCGTCCCGCGCATGCGCGCTCTCTGCGTGTGTCCTCCTCCCTTACCAGCCCCGCCGGAAACCGGGCCCCACGCGACAAGGTTCCGCCGGGCATTTCTTCCCTTTCCAACTCACTCAGCAATAGAGCTCTGGAAGCGCTTGGGAAAGAATGAATACTAACACCATTGCCATCATCATCATTAATATTACTATTACTATCATATTTCACTACTCTTACTACCTTTATTACTTATTGCTGCTACTATTAGTAATACTGTTCTGGAACAGATGTTCCAGGAGCTCCAATTTTGTTTGCTTTGAATTAAATGTTGGTTTGCAATCCCAGGCTTGGGATTTTGCAGCAGGGTAGTTTCCTGTTATAGTTTGCAATCATAGTGCAAGCTACCTGTCTATTATAGTTAGGATCCCTGGTCCCGCCCCTCTCTGGGTTTTTTGGAGGGAAGGGGCCATTTTTCAGTTAGTCTCAGCAAAGGAAGTCAATGCAGAGGATGTATGCAGACGTCCTCCTGTGCAAAGGCTTTGTCCCTTAAGACTTTCCGGGGGAGAACAGTCTTGAGAGCCTCTAAAGATTCCCAAAGGTTCCGGGGAAAAAGCCTTACAGCCCTGAGGAATTCCAGAGGGAATAACAGCTCTAACCATCAAAGCAACTAAGTGATTACAAACCCTTTGATAGGTTCGCTCGGCGTTGAGACGCAGTTCAGCCTGGTAGTGAATCCACATCAATAAGGTTTAGGTTCACAGCAGCCTGGGAGGAGCTAGAAAGGGGAATTTTCCTTTAAACAAGGTTTTTGAAGATAGTGCCTGTTCCCTGTGAACAAGATTGCAAGAGCCAAGAGATTGTTAAGAAAGTTTTACAATTCCTGTTTGTTCATCAATAAAAGACTGTTATATTTAAGCTCAAGCCTCATAAAGACTGTTTAATAAGGGAAATTTCTCTAAAGGCTTCTTTTCGGGGGCCCTGGCTTCCCGCTGGATCCAAGCCATACATCCTCTCTTAAAGGCACTTCATTTCAGGTCCAGCGGCAACAGAACAAATACTATTATGATTATTGCTGTTATTACTGCTCCAATTAATCTATATAAATAAAAATGTAATGTTCGTTTGTGGGATTAACAGAACTCAAAAACCACTGGACGAATTGACACCAAATTTGGACACAAGACACCTAACAACCCAATGTATGTCCTTCACTCAAAAAAAATGGATTTTGTCATTTGGGAGTTGTAGTTGCTGGGATTTATAGTTCACCTATAATCAAAGAGCATTCTGAACCCCTCCAACGATGGAATTGAACCAAGCCTGGCACGACCAAGACCAAGAGAAGACACTAGAAGGGTTTGGTGGGCACTGACCTTTGGTTTTGGAGTTCTAGTTCACCTACATCCAGAGATCACTGTGGACTCAAACAATGATGGATCGGTACCAAACTCTACATGAATACTCAATATGCCCAAATGTGAACACTGTGGAGTTTGGGGGAAATAGAATCTTGACATTTGGGAGTTGTAGTTGCTGGGATTTATAATTTACCCTACAATCACAGAGCATTCTGAACCCCACCTACGATAGAATTGGGCCAAACCTCCCACACAGAACCCCCATGTGGGCCACAGCAACTTCGTCACCACCCCCAGCTCCTTCAAGGTCAGTCCAGTCACTTCAAGGATGCCATCCATCCATCTTGCCCTTGGTCGGCCCCTCTTCCTTTTGCCTTCCACTTTCCCCAGCATAATTGTCTTCTCTAGCTTTGCTGTCTCCTCATGATGTGGCCAAAGTACTTCAACTTTGTCTCTAGTATCCTTCCCTCCAATGAGCAGTTGGGCTTTATTTCCTGGAGGATGGACTGGTTGGATCTTCTAGTATTACTATTACTGGTTGGATTGCTAGTATTACTATTACTGATATTACTATTACTACCATTCCTAAAGGTTTTCCCCTGACATTAAGTCCAGTCATGTCTGACTCTCTGCATTGGTGCTCATCACCATTTCTAAGCCGAAGAGCCAGCATTGTCCATAGATACCTCCAAGGTCATGTTGATGTCGAACACGAATTTGGGAGGCCATGCCGAGGCAGGGACTGGCCAGACCCAAAAAGAAGATCCGGGACACCTGGCGAGACAGCAAGCACCCAAAAATATTTTGACCTATTTTTTCCCAAATAAAGTCTCACCAAGTTGAAGGAAAGCCACCAAGATGTTTATTTCATTCCAGCTGGAATGGATGACAACCACAATCATTTGCCCAGGAGCCAACATAACCCAATGGGCAGAGAAATACAATATTTATAGAGCTGTCAGACCTCTTGTGCCCTCCTCCAGAGCCAGCTTCTCCCTGATCTGTGGAGACATCAGCTGGCTGGAAGGAGCGGCTGTGGTGGCAGCATTCTGTCCAATCAGAGCGCTAGCCCCGCTTTGGCTGCTCAGCCAATGACATAGGAGGAGGCGGGCCAGGCAGGAAACAATGACAGAAATTAGAAAATGATGGGATTAAGATGACCAGTGTTTGCCAATGGCTGGGCGATAGCTTTAGGATCTCAAGCCTGGCCTGAGCTATTGTTTGATGTCTTGAAAATACATTTTTGTCTAGCCCCGAGAGGCCAGGTCCTTTGTTTACCGTCCTGCAATATGGGGTCTATTGATGAATAAGATATGGGTTTCGGAGGATCAGGATGTGGCACAGCAAGGAGGCGGTGACAAATCCCCAGTTCCTCGCAGAGGGAGAGATGTCCTTTGTGTTGGGTAATCTAATATGTCCATAAACTCCATCATTGCAGATGGCCTGACTATTTGCCCTCCGAGGTCCGGTCAGACAGAGTCATTTACATATTGTCCATGCAAATGGGCTTAGTGAAGTCCTTTGCTAGGGGATTATGGATTCAGGAAGTTTGGAAACCCCAAGAGTCATAAGTTGCTGGTTTCATGAAAAAGGTGGCTTTTCCTTCATTTTTCAGATATTGACATACATACATATAGGGAATAAGGGAATGGGGTATGGGAGCATACATAGAATTAATGAAGGGACAAGGGGGAATCATGCAGGGTCTAAGGGAGTCCATAATAGCCCCCCAAAGTCCATGGAAGTTCATAAAAGTTGGCAAGAGTCCAGAAAAGCTCCTATAAAAGTTTATGAAAGTTAATAAGAGTCCATAAGAGTTCATGGGGGTGCAGGAAAAAGTCATGGGAGCACCAGGTCGTCATGGTCTATTAAAAAAAAAGGGTTCATTTCATATTTCTAATTCATGAAAGGCTGTAGTGGCCTGCCAAGGTCCGGGGGTCCCAAGGGGTGACCACAATGCAGGCAGGCTTCCAGGTCAGGGCGACGTCCGTGAAGTGGAGACACAACCTTTGCAGCTGCATGGGGGCCATGGAAAGAGACATTCTGGTTCCCACATGAGGTTCCACCCAATGAGGTGGATTTCCGGGGTGCAGGGGTCCATTCAGCAGAAAGTGAGATAGCAGTTAGTATTAGAATAGTCCCAGGAGAAAGTTAGCACCAGTTTGGAGTTGATCGGTTGACCCGCGGATATGGGGACCCAGTGGGTTTCCGTATCCGCAGTTCACAGAAATGCAGTTTCGACCTCCCCAGGACACTGTAAGAGGGTCCCGGGGCAAGCCAGCAGGGATCTGCGGCTCAGAAAAGAAAAGGTTCATGCTTGTTAGTGCTTGAGTCAGTAAAAGGACACAATGTATCACTATGAAGAGGAAAAGTTAGAAAAAAGGATGTTGTTGTTGTTCATTCCTTCAGTTGTCTCCGACTCTTCGTGACCTCATGGACCAGCCCACGCCAGAGCTCCCTGTCGGCCGTCACCACCCCCAGCTCCTTCAAGGTCAGTCCAGTCACTTCAAGGATGCCATCCATCCATCTTGCCCTTGGTCGGCCCCTCTTCCTTTTGCCTTCCACTTTCCCCAGCATAATTGTCTTCTCTAGGCTTTGCTGTCTCCTCATGATGTAGCCAAAGGACTTCAACTTTGTCTCTAGTATCCTTCCCTCCAATGAGCAGTCGGGCTTTATTTCCTGAAGAATGGAAAAAGGATACTTTTTATTAAAGGTTGGTTACATTGAAGTGGGGAGGTTTTGCAAAGAAGAAAGAAAGGTCCCTGTATTGGAGCTGGTGCTGGAGCCACAATCCCTTCGTGTTCTTAGGGATTCATGCTCCCAGGAACTGCGGAACCCCCTGCTGTGTGTCAGATCAGCTTGAATGTGGGGACCTGTGAGATCATCCTCAATGTGGCCAGCATGACTGCATGGAGCACCATTACCTTCCCGCCGGAGTGGTACCTATTGATCTGCTCACATTTGCATGTTTTCGAACTACTAGGTTGGCAGAAGGTGGGGCTAAGAGCAGGAGCTCACCCCACTCTCTGGATTCAAACCTGTGACCTTTCAGTCAGCAAGTTCAGCAGCTCAGCGCTTTAAGCCACTTTACCACCGGGGATTCCTTATTACTACCGTGATGACTACTATTATTACCATTATTACAACTAACATTATTACTACTATTAATATCCCGTTCAAAGCAGCTAACCATGCGAAACCATCAAAGTTTCTAAAAATGTACAATTTAAAACCAAAAGCATATAAATATTAACATAGTGTTAAGCATAGGAGTATTAAAAACAAAAGAGTATAAACCATCAAAATCATTACAAATTGCACACCAACCCTCAGAATCCCCTCAGCTAGAACCTGAGAGTTATAGTCCTTCCCCTGCATACAAAAAAGCTGTGTCTACACTCTAGAATGAATGCAGTGTGACACTGCTTTTGTTGTGGCTGAGCTATTTTCTGACGATGAGAATGATGGGATTCAGATTCCTGCTGGCTCTTTGCCTGTGCCTCACATCTCTGAGCCTGCTTCTGACCCGGGAAGTTCGCCTTGATCTCGAGGTCAGGCGGAGTTTGTGTCTGGCAAGCAGAGGTGAAGCCAGCTCGGTGAAGGGTCGTCGCAATGCTTTTATGATGCTAAGAGCCTAATGTTTTGATGTGAGAAAGGTATTTAGGC